TACACTCCAGAGGTGATCCTCAGCATTAAACAAATGGCCATAACAGATCAGAATGCTTCATTAACATTGCATTCCCACAAGCAAGACTAATTCCACCTCCTCCCTATTCAACTGTAAGTAGTCCTGTTGCTTTTGTTCTGCCTGTCAATGCTGAGTATATTTGATTCAGCTACTTAGCAGCTTACTGCATTTCTCCACAACGAGATGGAAATCATGAACTCTCTTTCTCTTTTCCCCGAAGGACTGAAAAAAAAAAGCTGAGCCTGTTTTTATCAGAAGCATGCCAGAACCTCCAAATACTGTTATAAATCAATTTTCTTGTTTCGACTTGCCTTTGCTCAAACAAATTTGATTTTTTTTTTAAGATGCTCTGAAAGCGAAGGTCTTTTCCTTGGAATGAGAGTGCAAAAAAGGAACGCCACCCCATTGTGGTATCTGGCCGGTGTTTGCAGTTAGATTTGGAGGAAAAAATAAGCGTTGAAGAGATTCGAGTCAGTGCAAGTGTGAGTGTTTTTCTTTCTTCTTTTTTTTTTTTTAAAGTCGTGTTGGAAGTACCTTGAATGACTTTTGCATGGGAGATCCTGGGAGGAGCTCGGAAGCTTGAGCCATAAAAAAAAAAAAATCAACAAGACACAACAGGCTCACAAAATCAATTGAGATTTTTTTTTCTGGGTTGTTTATGCCTTAGAAGAAAAGGTACTACTCCTTTACTGTTGCATTCACTGCGAGAGGGCCTCTCATCCATGTTTATACTGCTGGTGAATCATCCATAACCGCAGTCACTCAATAATAAAATCTTTAATTAAACCAACAGGAAACAAGGGCCATTTTCACAAAGCAGTTACAGCTTTGCTAAACCTAAGTGTTTTTTTTTTGTTTCTGTCTGCAAAGGAAAAGGGACTGTCAAAGAAGCAGCCGAGAAGCTTATTTTCCTGCTTTCATTTAGCAAAGCTTTGCCTGTGAGTTCACAAAGGTCTAAAGGTCTAAATTACATCAATTTCCCTACGGGATTAATAAAGTATTATCTATCTAAAGCCAAACTGTGAAGGCAGAACACTTCTACACCAGGATGATCCGTCTTTACAGTTTGCACTCGTTTTAATACAAAATAAAGTCTACAACCCACATTACACATTTAATCTGCATCTCAGCTAAAGATTGGCCAATGAAGATTGAACGTTCGGAGCCTAGAGTTCTGCGTCTTGATTTTTATGTTGTTTTGGCACCTTTACAATTAAGTGTGTGAATTTCTCCAAGAAGGACACTGAATGAGAAGGACAGGATGGGACCAGCAGTAGTGTACGGCCTGTGGTTTGCACCTCATCACAGAAGAAAACTCTGTGGGGTGTTCTGCAGCTCCTCAAAGCAAGAAGCATTTTCTGATTGCTCTCTAATTTTGTTTTTTTGTGATTCATGTGAACCTATCAGGAGACCCATCCAGACTTTTCCCTCACTCTAGTTTTCAAACAAGCTTGCCCAAATCATCCATATTTTATTCAGGCTGAGCAACGTACTCCTGATCTATAGTCAAAATAGGTTTGATCTAGATTAATAACAAAGACCCCCTCTTTGGTTTCACCTGTTTGAGTTCTTGGTTCACATTAATCAGCTAAATGTGCAGTTCAGTTCCACCTGTTTGGAACTTTAATCTGACTCATTTCTCTTCAGTCCTGAAGCCAAAACGTGTTACAGGTAATGTTGGAAACTCTTTTTTTGATTATACATGGGAAGAAAATCTAAAAAGATCTTTAAATACTGTATGCAAAATACAGAAAACGGTACAATTACAGACATCTTAAGTGCATGTTAAAACACAACAGACCCAGTGTTAGACCAAATAACATATAATGTACAGTATTATTTAATTAGTATTTTTTATAGCCTAAAATATATTCAGAGGTCTCGTGAAGTCAACAACCTCATAGGATCTCTATTAATGATTAATTACATGTTCATAGACAAGAGCCAGCTTGTTCTTGCATGTACATGCTTTACCGAGGGGAAATTGAGTGTTAACACCTTGTTTGTTAGGCATTGAGAAAGTGTTATTTGCAACCCCTGAACTAAAACATTACCAGCACAGTGAACCTCAGCTGCTCTTATTATTGAGGCCCCCAATCCAATTTTCCTTTCTTACCAGCTGCTAAAGGATAAAATGATTTATTTTTTACTGTTTTCAAAACAAATTTGCTTCCTCGGAACAATGTCCCCAGTCCACAAAACCAATTATTTCTGCCTATGCTGTGATTCACAAATTAGGCCTTTTCTTCCACTTCTGAAGCCAAAGGTCAATTTCCCTTTAAATATCCCTCTACTGATGTCTTCTCGACTCAAGAGTGCAGTTGCAAAGGCATAAATACAACTAGACAAAACAGCATTTAATCCCCTATGAATTACTATTATTTATCTCTCCGTGTCATGTCAAAGCAAGACATATGAATGCAATCAGTCTGGATTCACTTACACCAGGTATAGGACCAGCAGTCTAAAGGCCTCTTCATACTCCAGAGATTCATGTGCATCTTACTGCACAGGCAGACAAATGTCCAACTAACTGCTTTTCTTTAACCTGCCATGGCAAATTCACTGCACCATTTTTTGCATTGCAGATTTTGCCTTATTTGTTTTCTATATGCTCTCCCCTGTGCCAGACGATGGACACATAGGGTTCCACGATAGACATCCCCCGTGTTTATACTGATACACCAAGGTATTCTCGTAATACAGAGCAAACAAAAGGTCTTGCAGAGCCACAGGAAATCTATGTTAAAACCCCATTAAAAATGCAAGAATACTGCTGTTCAGTGTCCTTGCTAAGCCTGATGTCTTGAGTTGAAAGACCAATCCAAAGCCATGATAATATTTATTATATATATATTATTTAAGAGGGACACCTGTATATCCAGAAATGTTGTCAGTCTTAGAAAGCAGGATGAATCACCTTTAGGAAGGCCAGTATAGTAAAAAGCACAGCTACTGCATCTACACCAGTACAGTAACTACAGTATATACCAATATATCGCCCTCACCTTCTGTGAGCCACGTCTCCTGGAGTTGGCTTAAATCCTGAAAGAGGTCTAAACAGGGGAGAGAGAAGTGAACACACCTGGTTAGAAATCCAACATCTTCCAGCATATGAAGTACTGTACATGAAAAAAACAAGGTTCAGGCGCTGTAGCGCTGAGATTGACTTGGTATAAAAAGCAGAACTCATCTCGGGTGCTGTTCGGCGTCTGTGGCTTTTCCATCACTGCGTACGACCTTACCTTCAGATTCCTGAGGGGGCAATTCCGTGTCCGCGAATTTTCTTTTTGCGGCCATCAACGGTCTGTTTACGGGCCCATTTCCTTGCGACTTCTGCAAAACAACAGCGCGCACAGAAACCGTGAGAGGCGCAGAAACCAGAAATACGAACGTTACATTTGATGTCTAAAGTGACTGACAAGATAGTCCTTCTTTCGTGCCTTTTATTCATTATTATTAAAAAAAAGAGAGTCTGAAAGTTTTCTCTGTTTTTACAGATTAAAGAACCGCTTTGGCTACTGAATCTGACTTTAAACTACAGTTTATCTCCTTGTGTTGTTTTTGGAACAGAAATACATTTTCCTCTGCAGCCGGGGGGGTGCTTAGAACTCTCACTGGCGCTACCAGAAGTTTTAAAAAGACGTCGCTTTTTAAGGTCCCAATCTGTAAATAGTTGAAAATGAGCTGCCCTTTTCTACCACAAAAAAAAAAACAACCAACAACAACCATAAATGACTCTGAAGCAACAGGGATTGGATTTTTGCGATCAGCGTACGGTGATAACTACGACACAAATATAGAAAGAGGAGCGAAAAAATAGTTTTGATGTTTGTAACAGCGGCTGCTCTGAAGCAGCCCGGGCAGCCCGTGTTAACAGCGCTCGGGAAATCAACGAGCAAGCAGAGGGGGGAAAAAACAGATACTTACCTTAGCTAAAGTATAAGGCACTTGCTGATCCAAATATCCATCCATTTTATAATCCATCTGTTAACCGTTTGTGGTCATTTATGCTGGATTGCTAGAAATCCACGCAGCCTAAACTGGGGGGAAGAGACAGAGGCGCAACAGAGCCAGTTGTGAATGAAGAGGCGAGAAGGCTGCATGCATAATGAGCTCCATTCACAAAAAATGCAGGCAAGGCAGCGCTTACAAAACGCATCGCTTAGCCTGCTCCAGTGTAGTTCTGCCGGTCCCGGGGATAACTCGGAAAAACTCTACCCACGGCTCCTGGGCTGCTAATTTCCCAACGTTTTGAGTTAATATGACCGTCAATTAAATTAGTCACATTTTGTACGTCGGAGTTGTTTACAGTTCTGTTTGAACAACCTCTGTTCCGACTGAAAAGATCAGATCGGAAACGAGCTTTTTCTACAAGGAGTTTTAGATTGTTTTATATCTTTTTAAAAATCTGCATGGATTAAAATATTCATATTGTCCTGCATTCATTAATTCATGGTAACCCACACCTCCCACACCATTTTAGAAGTATTGGAGTGACGCCCACAGTATTTCTGCATCACAAAATGGAAACCGCTTTATTATTGTTTTCAATCAATGCGATTTGTTTTCAATGAATATAAAAGCTCGGATATCGCTTTAAAACCCGCGATGGACGTAAGACGTTGCTGTTTCGAGCAACACTCCAACACTGTTTGACTTACAGAGCACATATGATAATTTAAACTCATAAAATCATAAACCCATATTGAAGAACTCGGAGCTCCGAATTTAATCTCACCTGGATGCTTTTTTAATTCTGTGATATTATACACTACCAAGTTTCCTACTTGAACATGACCCTTGATTTGTTCTGTAAAATAATAATGATGATGATAGAAAGTCTTTCCAGACTTGAGTGTTGATATGGAAAGGACCTGTTTTTCTTGCTTTCAGACAGTTGTTTGCCCAAGGGAGCCGTGTCGATTGGTGGATTTCCTCTTTCAAGGGCTCGAATTTCTTCCTCTTTGTTTTAATGAATGACCCGACTTTTGTGAATGAAATCTCGGCTTCCCTTGCCAACCAATCGGCGGCGGGACGTTAGGGGTCCATAGCAACCGCAGGTGGAGCTGGAATGCAAGAGACCAATCAGTGATTGGGACCCCCGGAGCTTTTATCCGAAGTTCTCCAGTTGTTTTTCATTCACAAAAAAAGAGAGAAAACTTTCATTCATAAAAACTTGGAAAGAGCCACGAAGCCTGAGCTTCGGCGTTCTGTTTATTGATTTAAATTCACTTAGACAGGCGTTTGTAATTACTTCCCATTTGGACAGACATTTTTAAATTAAGCTAATTCTTGTTTTCTGAAGGAAATTTAATGCATATCTGTAGCACTCCCTCCCCCCCACAGAGCGTGCTGCTCTTAAGCTGTGCAACGCATTTCGGAAGCGTATATATAAGAGAGATTTAAAAGTTTAAAAGCAAAAGGGCCTACAGTATTCACACTGACGAGGAGACCAGGCAGGGCTTTTATACCCTCGTAGTTTCAACACACTGCAATATAAAGGCTCTTTATATAAGACGGCTATGATGTAACAAGGTGAAAACTTCTCACTTAGCGGTTTTTCTTAAAGATATACTCCCGAAGCCTGACCCCTATGTAGAAAAACAAGGTTTGCGAAATGTTTTATGAACGCCAGCCCACTGCCCAGATTGTTGTAGATATAGGAACGTCATCATTATGATTTCAAAGTAGATTACCTACAAAGGCACATAAATACTCTTGTGTTTAAGGACTGGTGAGCTCATTGTAATTCTAGAAGGATTTATACCGCTGTTGAAGTTTCTGTCGGCACAATAAGCGATCTTTCTGGGTGACTTCAGGAAATTAAATTTTCACCGTCGCAGCCCTAGTTTTCTTCTTTGAAACGAAATAATCCCACCCCACTACCACCACCACCAAAAAACACTTTTATTTAGTGTATGATCATTTGACCATTAGAAATCGCTTCACAGAACCACCGCGATACGGGCGGGTACATTTCACTAGGTGCTCCTTGCCGACTACACAGTCGAATCAGGATGTTGTTTTATCCGATAATCTCTCCATAGGAGGTTAACGACGCACTCTGTCTGTTTACTTAAAGATAAATTCCAGTTAAGTCTGCTGTTTTCCTTATAACAGAAAAGCAGTCGTTTTTTCTTACTGACTATGAGTATGTCTGCGTGATCCGTAAAGAGAGAAGGAGGTAATTTATTGACGTAATTTATTTATTTTAAGAGCATATTTGTTTGCATCTGGAATACATACTAAAACCGCTCCAGGAAAAATGGAAAACAGACAAAACAGACTTCTATTGATGATTTACCAGTGTCACATTAAAGATACAAAGGTCGCACGTCACATTTCGAAAGTTTGCTGTTAATCGTGTTCTTAAAAATAGGCTAGGTATTAAATTACTTTAATTCTTCACACTGTTCCATCGATTAAACAAAGAATCATATTCAATGGTTTTTATTACTTCACGTGCAACTCTAAGCTGTTTTTGTTTTATATTAATGTAATATACGATTAGTGTGCTCATTCTAATAATTCGTTAAATAAGTAGGCTTATATTATATATGGGGTGTATTCTAAATGTATCAAACTGCACGGTACTGTAAAGAAATTAATTAATCCAGATTTTGTGTAGCTGTGATTCTTAAACTTCAAAGTGTTATTTAATAACTTCTAAATGTTAACAATTGATCCTAAGTGCCAAGGCACACTGTGCTTAATTTATACCAGGGCATATGGTTTTCTGAAATCTCACGCATAGCGAAAATGGCAGATTTTTCGTGCTTTTGAAAATCCCGGAGCCAACCGTATCACGGAAAAAAAAAAAATCGAAAGCGCTACGAGAGCTCATATCATTAGTATGAAAACATGTGCAGCTAGTCTGTACTCCAGAATCACCCTGGTCATTGGATCAAAGCTTCTGAAGACTCCCATTATTCTTCCATTATTCATTCTACACACAGGGACAGAGACACACGGTGCTATTAAAGATGTTTAATTTAACTCGCAGTATCTCTAGAAAAAGAGTTTCAGGCCATAAACACGATTATCATAATAGTCACTGTTATCTGCAGTTCATAATATTCTACTTTACGTTCTACTGCCATTAGGAATTAGAGCCTTATAGCTGATCATACTGTGCATTAGGGCTTTTAAAAGACTCTACTGTAAACCAGCCTTGTTCTCTAGGAGACTGTAATCCCAGCCCGACGGTATGGTGCTTCAGCAAGTCTGGAGCTGGACGTGAAATGCAATGCACTCAGTCTCTCCAGGTGGAGTAGCCCATAGTCTGAGTCTGGAAAGTGGATATTTACATTTCCTGTTGTTGTTTTTTTATGAGCTGAACCTGTGCTTCTTTAGTAACATTTAACTAAATATAGCATAGCTGTTTCTATTCTACAACTATTTGTAATGACAACAATCTTCTCTATTGGCCCTACCATGCAAAATAGATACCAAAAGGAATTACTCAGGGCTTTGGTCTGCACTCGAAGTCTTTGGTATTGCACAAGATTTTTTACAGGGGTATCCTTCTGCCTGCCTGTGGCAAAAGATCAGCTCGCAGACAGGAAAAACTGTCCAGCTGGACTGATACATTTTAGGCTGGTGTTGGCTGCAAGCATGGAAAGGTCCCCAGCTCGCACAGAACAGATTGAGTCTGCAGTGCCTGTCAGCAGTCTAAAGGGCCTGCCACGTCTTTGCTTAATGCTGATTGACGGATAGGTTTTCTGTATGTGCTTGAACCAACTAGCAAAGAGTTTACTCCATATTCACAAACTGTGAAAACAGACAGCATTAGCACAATTAACAGCAAAACTGCATTACAAAACAAAACATTTCTGGATCCGCCAAGCCAGTTTGCAGGTTAGAGTGTTTTGTTTAAAATGTGAAGAAAAATGCATTTTTAGAAATTCTTACAAAGGGGTCTTTGCAGAGTTACGCTGTATCAAGTGGTAATAAGCAAACAGACACACATACTCATTTGTCTAAAAAGAGGAGGCTGTCATGGGATTTTTAAGTGCTTTCTGTGCCAGTATTCTCTTATCTCCTTTTAACATTGGTTCTTGAGTCTGACTTAGTGACTCTGTCTGCACTTGTTCTGTCTTATAAGAAAATGGCCTCTGCAAATTTGCACACAATCTTTTTTGAAGCTTCTGTTGTGTAACTACACTGATTCACTTTACGGCTTGTATGTCACCGTACCAAATATCACGTTGTCAAACCCAATGCCTCCCCCTAAAAAACAAAAACAAAGCTTGAAGACAGTGGCTCCTTAAGTTTAATTAGGGGATCAGTGGTGTGAAATGCTCTGAAGTGTACCTAACATGGAGCATACTAATACACTGCAGCTCTGTCCTGACTTTCCTCTTTTAATCTCTGGAGTCAGTGATTTTAGTCCCCTAAGTGGCAACTAATCTTGAACTTACTCCAGCTACTTGTCACTTATTTTGTGTGGGCTTTTGAATGAATTTCACAGCTTTAGAGTGATACCACTCAAAATGCATCGCTAAAATGAATTCCTCTTATGCGACTGCCCTTGAATGAAGGCATTTAGAAGAGCTGCCACAGCTCTAAAGTTCAGATGTCTTTTTTTTGGCGTAAATGTGGAATGGACGAGTCATTTTTCTGTGCTTACAAAAATTTTGAATTTCCTGTTTTCAGGCAATTCAGCAAACCAGTACAACCCTCATATCAGATTGGGAGAAAAGACATACACATGTGCTTTGCTCTGAAAATGCACATGTTGAGCCACCTGTATTGTTTTGCCCTGTGACTCCCACAGTACTTTTAAAAGCCCCTGACTGATATCACAGCAAGCTCACAGGTGCTTTACAAACCATAGGGGTTACTCTATTGTGTGGCTGTGTTTACCATACCCCAGCCTTGACGGTGATGAGCCAGTTTAATCTCGGGGAGAGAAACACTGGTGTCCTTTTGGGTTGTCCACATGTTTCACGTTTTAAAGCTGTAAAATACACAGGAGCTGACATTTGAATTTTTCTGGTGTTAAAACCTTATGGCCAAAAAACCATAATTACAGATGCATTAAAATTATACTTAAGACACAGCTATAGTGCACTTAAAAATCTTTAAATGTGATTATGTCAGACCCCCCCCCCATACATACATGTTGAGTAAAATGTAATAGAATGATCAAGGTCAGGAGACTCGGATATCGATTTACATTGATTCCAGCACTCATGACTCGGGCCTGCAGTGTGTCCAGCTGACTCAGACGGCCCAAGATGTTGTTGCTTTAATATGGGGAGAGAGAGGGTCCCTGCATTCTTGTGATCTCTTAGGCTAATTCAGTATACAGTTGAGTTGTCTCCAAAGAGCTGCAGCCTGCAAAGCAGCTAATTAGCTTTTACAGTACT